ACAGGCTACATGGATTAAACAGAATTACAGTTTTTAATCTCATCTTTGAGTTAGTACTACTAACATGATGGGATAATCATTTGTACATATCTAGCCTTTCTGTCATGAATATGAGGAGCAGCAAAGGCAGCCAATACACCAGCTATTAATACTGGAGCATCATTGATGTGATTTTTACACCCACTGTACTTGCTATATAGATTTTTCAAGTCGTTGCAAAGTTATACCATTTAAAGATGAGATTTTGAGCACTCATAAATATGCACAAGTGCTTGTGTGCACACCCAAACACACATACTTCAAATGTCTGAAAACATTTCTGTATTAGATAAACAATCTCAACAGTCTACTTTTGAGCTGCTTAAAATGTTTCCTGTACTGAAATATACTTAGTACAGTGCATGTGCAACATTGCTGAGCTAACACTGTAAACTCTTCTGAATGACCTTTTTAAGAAACTATTATTGAGTCAAATTTACTATAGGTTGAGCTAAGGAATCTATCAGGCACACAGGAAAATTAGTGCAGTATTGTTTTATGATAGAAATAGTCTGCAAGCCTCAATTTTTACTTACTTTATGTTCTGTTGCTTCCAATGAAATTAGTCCTTTTTTCATGGCTTTTGATATAATCAGTATCAGCAGCTATAGCTTCTTCCTATATTGTTCTTTCAGGAGTTAAAGTCTTATTGCAGTATGTTGACATAAGTGTCATTTTTTCTGTGGTGAACTGGGAATACTGGGATCCAGAGTTCTCTGACTGTTAGCTGAGCCATACATAAGAAGGTAGCACAGTAGGGCCACAGGAAAACTTGAAGTGGGAAATTCAGATTGGAATTAAAGACAACAAAGGAACACAGAAACAGAAAGACAGAGGAAATGCTGAAGGAGCATGAGGAGAATGAAAGGCTGACACAATTAGTGCTGATGATCAGATCCTTAGTTGTAATGGGGAACAGAGAGACACAGAGGAGTCATTCAGGGACATCATATCTAATGTCCTATTAAACATTTAGGACATTTTAGTCTGTGTAAATACAGACTAAAAGAGTTTTAAAGGTCTCAGGAGAGTCTGACCTCCAACTTTTTTAGTCACATCATCTATGCCAACATATCACCAGAGCAAGGTGGTCTGTGGCTTCTATGGTGACTTGCAACCATTTCATTAGCCTCTTCCAGGACATTTCTCACATGATGGGATGTGCCTGGTTGGGAGTCAGTATTGGCAAAAAGGTTCAAAACTTGGTCTATGGTACAAAAATTGTGTAGTTTGACTCATGTCTGTATGGTCCATTTGTCATGACACTACCCCTTACACAGAAATAATTAAATTTGTAAGTGATTATTGCTATTTTGTATGTAATATAAATAAGGAACAATTTTACTTTTTTTTTTTCCATATTTTTAACATACGCACATCAGATTATACCAACCTAGGAAGATCCTAATTAAAATTACACTTCCAAGAAATTAAAAGAATTAGCTACAGGAGGGCACACTTAAATCAATCAACTATATCTGTGTCCTTTATTGATCCCAAATCATTTCAGTGTGATTGGGACATTTTCACAATCTCATTTCCAATTACACCATCTCTCAAAGAAGCTTTGAGTGTTTCCCTTTTTTTCTTTTTTTCCCTCACGGTGTCACTACAGGCCAAACCTGACAAATTCTTTATGTATCCATGTACACTGGATGAGGCATTTCTGTTCTACTGGCTCCAAAGGTCAGCTTCTACAGCCTGTTCAGGGGGTACAAGACATGGATAACTGTTGGATGAGCATAAGTCAGTGTGCATAAGTGAGTTTTTAGAGGGCTTGTAGGCCTCCCTTTCTACAAAGCTTTCATTTGTGCCCTTGGACAGTGGCTATTTTCAATATGAAAGAGGACAAATCTCAGATTCAGAAGCCTTGCTGGGCAGCAAATGTATCAGAAATTTAAATGTATACTAACATTCTGTGCTTATCAGGCAGAGCTATCTTAAAACTTTAATTTTAGAATAAATATTTGTATAATCTGGTGAAGGTTAACTGCAAAGTTAGTGTTATTATCTGCCTTAAAATTGTTACCTGAATTAAAAGTTCTCATGTTCAGGGCCAGTTCTCTTAGTGCACCTCATTAGGCCATAGTTTATTTAAAATGTTAGCAAATGTTCAAAATTTTATTTAGTGCAAAAAGAAGATGAAAACAATTGACAGTTTTTATTTGTGAGAGCATATTTGATGTCCATCCCAGCTATTTATGTCATACACTGCCATTGCATCTGTGGACTCCTAAAGTAGATTGGCTGTAAAGAGATGACCTCTGTCTTATTTATGGGTATAACAGAGGATTATAGTGAAAATGCTAAAATTCTGTCTTCCTGACATTTTTAACAACCTTTCAGTTGGAAAATGCTGAGGTTGTCAACGTGCAGTTTTTAGATATTGTGTTCTTGTTGGATTTTCTGTAATTCAGCATCTGTAGCTGTTGGTTTTGCTTCTTAGGGAGTCACTTACACCATAAGTACTGCCTCATAAATTCCTGTACAAGCATGTAATTAATCTGTTTAATTTTCAAGAACATTTCTGTCTTCTCATTAAATGGTAATTTCCTGTATCAGAAATCCAATGTCCTCTCTAATTGGAGGATTATATTTCAAGATCAGAATATTATTTATTTTTCTGTGCTAAGTATTTGGGGATTTAGAATTCAGGTAAAATATACAACCTGATTTTTTTTTTTCTTATTTCTTTGAAGTTTTTACTTCAAGTTGTTTTCAAATTAGTACTTTGACATTTTCATCACAAAATGACATATTAACCCTACTCCTTCAGCTGAAAATAAAAAAAAACCCATTATTAAGATTGCAATGTCAGGCTTTCAGGCACTAGGGCAGAGGAAAAATGGCATCTTGTCTAAATAATGTATTCATAACTTGGCCCTTACCTCAGTTGAAAGCATTAAAATATTGCCTGTTGTTGTATGAAAAAATCTGGTGTTTTGCCATTTTTCATATTTCAGAGGTCCAAGGTGGACCTTTTTTCTATAGTAATTAAAATAATGCAATGATGGGTATTGTTTGTCAAATAACTTCAAATTATATTGGGGTTTACAGGAAGAAATAGTGTTTGCTATTTTATAGCAGTTGCATCTTGCCTTGGAGATATGGATTTGCCTCCATCTGCTGCAGGACAAGTTATCAAAATCAAACTTATCAAGATGGTCACTTGTTTCCACATTGCTATGTGTCGTGGGAGGATTCTGAACACTCAGACTGAAAAGCCAGGGCAATGGGAGCTCAGCTGCTGGGCTTTGATAACAAAAAGTGCTGCACAGTGATGTCACAAACCTGATGTCCAAAGTGGATGTGTACAGTTGACCTCAGACTGTTAGGTCTGTGCTTCAAGATGTTCCTCATCTCTCAGGTTCTTGTGGAAATAAATTATATTATGGCTTCAAAGGCTAATAATACATTAGTGATTGGGTAATTTTGTCTTCAGAGCAGTGTTTGAACTGTGCACATTTGGAAAGCAATGGATACCCACTGAATGATTAGGACAAATAATATAGTTGCTTATTACTTGAAAAGAATCCTCCTCTACTATGGCATGCAGTTGGTGTACAAACAACAAAAAGTTAAAACACATTGAATAAAACAAAAAACATAATAAAGTATATGGACAGCTACATAATCATAGTGGAAATATCTAAGATGTGAGTTCTCAATCTATGGTATGTGCATCACTCGTGGTATGAAAACTATTTCAAAGTGGTATTCAAATAAAATCTGAGCATCTGAGCAGAAGAATGTCTCCTTCATATGATTTACTATTATTTAATTCCCACAGGAAACTGGAACAAAGGTCTGGAAGTGTAAGTAAGGACTGGTGCATGCCGCATTTCCACCATCACCACTAATCTGGTAAAATATAGTTCTTTTCCCAAGCAACTAAAATGGTTGCTTCAGGCATAAAGGAAAACCTGGGAAGTGATAGGTCACAACAGCTCAAGCAGTGTGTCATGTACACTGTAATACCCTTCTCCAGCTCTTACTTAGCAGGGAAGATGAAGGTAAATGACATTGTGTCATTCTGGGAATATCCTCACGTGTATTTCACAAGCTTTTGCCAAGTAAGCCCAGTGAGAACAAACAGGAGTATCTTGTTCTGTTGTGTAATTTTAAAGTAATTCGCCGACAGCTAAACAACTGTGAATATTGGATTTTATCCAATACATAATCTATAGCAGTCAAAGACTTTTCCCACCTACTACTCATCAAACCCGCCCTGACTCTTCTCCATACCTTTCATTCTCATCTGGTTATAATTGCCGGGCAGTCACAATTTGTGTTCCTTGGGCTTCTCACAGCTCCTTGATCAACATGTCTGAGCTCTTTGTCCCAACTCCAGTTATCTCTGTTTCCTCTAGCCAGTCTCCCTATCCCACCTCCATCCCTCCTTCCCCACCTTTGTCCAGTTCTCAGGTTTTGTCTGCATGCACTGTCCACCTATGACTGAGGCACTACAGTGCCTTCATCTGCATTTTCTGTGAGCAAGTGTGTGAAAAGAAGTTCTCCTAGTTTTATAATTTAGCATAGCTATTTTTTTTCACAATAATGCTTGTTACACTTCCTAAGTTTCTGCTACCATGAGGTTGCTGGATAAATACATTTTAAAAATGTATTTTAGTGAGCACTTTATAACATCATACACTCTGTAGTTATGTACATAAGTGTGACTATGTAAACTAAAAATATAGTATAGGCTTAAGCAATAGGTGAAAATTTCTGAAAAATGAAAATTTCGTAAATGGATTATACCCAGCTAATGGGTAAACTTGTGATTAGCTGTTGCCTTTAAGTAATCATTTAAGTAGGTTCATTACTATGTGGTTGTGCATTTAAAAAGCATATTTGAACTAAAAGACATATTTTAGAAAATATTGCAGTCCTATTTCACTTTGAATATTTATTAATATGTATTGTTATTCAAACAAGTATACAGCTTAACAGTTAAATATATATAATGTACAGAGATTTTTTTTGATCAATACAATGCATCAGAATTAATAGTGCAGGTTGAGTACTAACCAATGTATCATATTAAATGAGTAGAAGAATAATTTAGTATTGCCAGCAGTATGGGAGGTGACAAGTATAATTTCAAAGACATTCTCAAATGACAAAGGAAAAAATTCTTGATCATTCCTATTCAATATAATGTAAAAGTAAATATATGGTTGTACATATTTGAATATATAGTTATAAATACACATACATGTGTATTAATTTGAATCCAATAGAGCAGTAGTATACAGTAATATGATTAATACAGAACAATTTAAAAATCATTTCATTGGGCAGTCAGTGGGAATTGATTTGCTTTTATACTGAAGTAATCTATGCCTGGCCATTGACTAGCAGAATTATTAAAAATTCATTGTTGTGAATTGGTTTCAAAGTCAATACACTTAGGTAATAATCATGGATAATCAGTAAGCAAGCTTTTTAATAAGCAGCCTATATAAGTAAGCAAGCTTTTCTGCTGTCTTTAAATATATACAGAAGTTAAAAATTGTGCAACATGTATATAATATCTTGACTTATTATAGCTTGAGTCCCAATCTGCCTGTGAAGTTATTCAAGCACTTCAAATACTTCCTAGTACTTACAGATGTGTCTGAATGCTTCACTTTGGTGCTGTTTTTGAGAAAAGAATAAAAGGGAGTTAGGTAAACCTGGCTGAATATTTAGGAAAATATTCTGCTGCATAACTGAAGTGGCAGGAGATCCATTAAACCAGTCCCCAGAAGTGCTGTGGGGTTTATCAGTCTGTAACTGAGGTGAAAACTTCCCCATGATTAAGTGACTGTTTAAATTCCACTTTTGGTATTCATGCACAAACTGCAGTCTGTCAGCATAAAGAAGTTTCCACAGCGGTTCCAGAAAATGTGTTTGGTAAAGCAAATTTGGTGCTGAACAGGAGGGATAGTGTCCCCACGGTGTGAAATAATTCACAGCAAGGCAATGCTCTGCCTCCTTTTGGTGCCCTCGCTTTCGTGACCTTCGATGTTGCCTGAAGTCCCCGTGAACAAAGTCATTTAGGTTTGATGGGTGAATACTCCAGTAGTTTCCTTTGCCATCCTCACATCTTCCCACCTTGATGAAACAATCATTTAGTGAAAGGTTGTGCCTTACACTGTTCCTCCAACCTCGACCTTTGTTCCTGTAAAAAGGAAAATTATCTTCAATATATTTGTAGATAGCAGCTAAATTCAGTTTATTTGTGGGGGAAGAAAGTATCGCCTTTGCAATCAAAGCTATGTATGACAGAGGTGGTTTATCCAGAAATCTTCCTTCATCCACAGTCACAGGAAGAACCTTTTTGGCATGTATGTGAGAGCTGGGATTTCGGGGTGGAGTCACTTGAGGCAGTTTTTCTTCTTCTCCTACTGTACAGATGTCTAGACTTCCTTCATTGTTCTCAGAAGAGTCTTCACTCATTATAGCAGCCTAAAATCCAGCATTTATTTTAAGCGTTCTGATATTTTACTGCAAGTAGCCAGTTCAATAATTGGTCCACTGAATATAACCAGCAGGAGAAAAGAAAGTTGGACTTCAACTGTGCTGCTCTCACGTACCCAGATTTCTATTTTATACTCTGTTAAGTCAACATCCTTAACAACGAAAACTGAACTGCCTATGTTTGCAAAAGTCAAGGTGCAAGTCCTAGCTGAATGAAAAAAAAACCCAAAATAATTATACTATGTTAAGTGTGAAGATAAACAGACCATGACGTTAGCCTCTCACTTCATTATAATCTGAGAAAACACCCTTCAGTGTTCCCCATTGAAACATAATGATTAATGAGAAATTTATGGTGCCTAGATAGAGTTGCGAAAGGATCAGACTTTCCAGTGATATGCAGAACAAACTGAAACCAACTTGTTGGTTCCTGTGTTCTACACTTAGTCAAACATGTTGTATTTAGTACAATAAACATTTGTTTTACCTGCTAATAGAAAGTACTGTGTGAAAGGAAACTACCTATCAAATTTCGTAGCTGCAGTGTAGCTATTCTTGGTGAAATGGAATTAAAGCGAAAAAAAAAAACTAAACACAAGTTGCTCCCCTTTTTTTCTTATTAACTCTCTGATAGCAACTAGCTTTCTTGCTGAGGATGCAAGTGACCAGTCCTGCCAACCCAAGAAACCGCTGGAGGGAGCAATTACCGCTCAGAGTCAGAGGGTTCTGTTCTCTGTCACCCCCAAAGCACAAACTGGCACTTGAACTTTGACATGGCCCTCAGCCTCCTGGGGTCTGACACTGTTAAGGAAAAGACAATCATCTCATCTTGGAAAAGGTTGCCCTGAGAAGCTGTGTATTCTCCCTCCCCTTAAGTATTCAAGGCCAGGTTGGACTGGGTTCTGAGCACTGTGGTCTAGTGGAAGGTGTCCCTGCCCATGGCAGTGGGTTTGGAACCCCAAACCTTTCCATGATTCAATGATTCTATGATGTCATGAGATTAGTCTAGGAATGTTATTAAATATGTTGAAATATATTCTAAAGCAAAATGAAACAACATGGAGGAAGTTTTGAAAGAGGATGTATCTTCTTTTGGGTCACTTTCGATGTCCAAAATATATATTATCACATGAGGTCTGTGTTTTGAGGTATCAACAATGTCATCAAAGATTCAACTTTAGAAGGCTGAAGTTGATGCTGCTGTTCAGGCTCTTTTGGGTCCTGAACATAACCCTTGGTTTCTCCTTTCAGATGCTAGTTCTGTCAAAGAGAGAGGGACATTAGGCTATCTGTTAAAGTGATCCCTATCCTCATGGTCTTGAAGTTCATCAGTTCTTAACTGATCATCTTGATTGGGCCCCTGTAAGTCGTGTCTCAGGGTTTCAAATTGACCAAGCAATGTTTCAGTTGGTTTTTAGATTAGAAAACAAGACTCATAATGCAACACTACAGGTCACATGGGTTATCTCATATTTCTGTGCCAGAGTAGAATTGCCACCTGCTTGCTTGCAAGATTTAATAGAACACTTTTCAAGTAATCATTGTGGATAGGGTGTACCTGGTATTTTAACAGCCTTGGCTGTTCAAAAATCCTAGTGATAACATGATGAGCTATTTAACACATTTTTTTTCTTGGTCTTCAGTCTCAGCAATCATTTATTTTGAAGGCATTCATTTGACCTGCTCTATCTCTACAAGAAATTGCCTTCCTGGAACATCCTAAAGTTGCCATCATTTTTCTGATACTGGTAGTTTTTCATAACCTTCTGATGACTAATTTACCCAGTTTTTTCTCCTCCTCTCTTATTTGCAGCTGAATGGTTGTCAAGTCATAGCAGAAATTATTGAGATTATCTCTGAAATGTGTGATCTGGCATGTTAGACTATTTATTAAAATCATGCCATTTCTGTTGTTTCAACTTTAAGCAGGTTATACCTAAAGGGGTTCCTACAATAATAATATAAAAAACTTGATTTTGATTCAGAATACCAGATTCTCTATATTAGGGTATTTCTACTGAAATTTGTGTTTTTATGAAACACTGCAGTTGTAGACTAGAGAATGAATGCTGCTCACTGTGACTAGGATTGCAACTTCCTTTCCCCATAGCTCCAAGAAAGAAACACAGAATCAAGCACATATTCTTCTATTTTAGTAATGACTTTGTAAATTGAAGGATTGTAAAGAAGGACAAGGCACAGAATGCAGATTTTGAGTGCCTAAACATATACAAATTAAATTAAGAATAAGGAAAACAATATTTATTAGAGTTTTCAATTTTAAGTAGAGGCTTTCAGAAACTGAGGAGACTGAAGATATTAAAAGAAACCAGTCTGAAGAATTAGAAATTTAAATGCAGTAAATGCCCAAAAGTCAAATGCACGATACTTGAACTCAAATCCTATAAAAGAAAAATTGTGTTGAAAGAGCTCCATATCTGAACAGATGAACAGGTCTTTCAGTAAGTGAAGGAAGATCCTACAGGGAATGAAAGACCAAAAGGGTGAGCAAAAACCCTTACATTTGGAAGAGCTGCATCTCCAAGATCACAGTTTTTGGTTTTCAGATAGGCCACCAAGGAAAATATTAATCCCAAACTCCTGAGTGTCTTGCTTGTTTCTTCTTTCTGCACATTATTTCTGACGTTAGCTTTTATTTTCCTCTGAGTCTTATCATTCAAGATGAAAATTCCTCCCTTTGCCCAAAACAAGATCCCAGCTAAAAAAATAAGACAAGTTCCCTGTTTTATCCTTATTCTTTGTGGAACCCTCTTGCCACTGTTTGAACTGTTTGCAAAGCTCCTACATTAGAGGAACAAACTTCACTCACTCAATGTCCAGTTTTATCTGAAAAGAAGAATGAGAGACAGGGACAGCATACTGTGTATTCTTACTATGCAGGCTTTTTCCAACCTGAGGAAGCACATACCTCTTCAAATGTCTGCACACACCTTACTAAAGCATCATTTTTGTTGCCACATTCTCTTCAAAGCTGCTAAAACACTGTATGGTTAGAAATCTGAGATTTCCCACAAAGCACCATAAAAAGAAGGGGCTGGCTTTATCAGCCAGACTAGTTAAACAGTTTATCCTGTAAATTTGTCAATAAATGATGTATTCTTGAAAAGATGAATGAGGATAAAAGAGCGTTTGGAAATTCTGTTTCAGTAATGTAATCTGTTCTGAATTTTCACTGTATAATTTTCACGGTTTTTTCCTCTCCCCTTAATTTAGATTAAAGAGAGTTTTTTCAATGTCTTAGTATTGATTGTATGAATCCAGGGTATCCTCTTATAATAGTTCTAATGTTTCTTTTTCTATACATATATTTACAAAGCCTGCAATTTTTCTTCTTGGTACTGTGAAAACAAGCACATGTTTTAGGGAGTGGTCTAGTTTCTACTTCAGGTCACAGAGTAGACCAATTGCAGTCATAGGAGAAACTTTTGTTAAGTCTGACAGTGCATACAATCTGTAACAAAGAGCAGAAAACAATTGAGGGCAGCCTTTGTCCTCACTCAGCCTTTATTACTAAAATTTAACTACAGTCATATGGGATTTAGAAATAAAATATTGCCTAAGTGTAACACTGTCTTTTCTTTCTTAGCTTGACATGCTTTAATGTAGAATTAAAGAATTAATCGTTTTTTGAAAATACCTCTCAAAATATGCCATCAATGTTTCTTTCTAAAGTATATAACCTTTAAAATATTTCTTCTACCTCTGGTTCAGCATTTTTGACCATTCATCAGTCAGCTAGAACAGCGTTCTTTGCAAGGAGAAAATGTATTTATGCCTTTTCCTAATAGATTTATTTAATAGCCATACAGAAGATAATACATCTCATACCATTTGCTAAAGAAGTGCAGTTTTCTAGGGCACTGGGGAATACACTGCTAGGAAGCCAAGTGGAACCAGATTTTATACTGCTCATCTTTAGTCCATGCTTAAGACATAATTGTTTTCAACTTGTTGCAAAGGTATAACTTCTTCCAGTTAAGGCAAAGAAAAAACAACTGGTCAGTGCTGATAATAGATATGACAAAAACATTTGACTATAGTCTTTGTTGCTCTCTTGAGTGTTTAATTAGTTCCAAAGCCTGCTAATTCTGTAACGTTTTTCCCTCTAATGTTTACTATGCTGTTCAATAGAGCAGCTAACCCATGTAGAGCTGTCTTATTTTCTACACATTTTTAATTCTATCTCTTGTTTCCACTGTTATTTAAACCATGTTTAAGGACACCTGGAAACTGTTTGTCTTGATTCAACATTTGTTTTTGATGTGTTCAGAGGAATGAGGCTACAGTAAAGTCATTAAAGAAGTTGTTGCATTAAACTTTCTAAAATGACCTGCTGCTGTTATACTTTGAAAGAAAGTAGCTACTCTGTTGCCTGATTTAGCAGGAAATTTAGAAGTAAATACCATTTACTCCTAAAATGGTATTTTAGGACACCATTTTAAAAGATGCAGAGAACAAATTATATTTTTTCATTATATTATTTTTACAGTGTTAATGCAATCTTTATATGTATATGTATGCTTGATTTGGTGCAACTGTCTCTGCATATTTTGATAAAAACATGTGGACTTCTGTGAAAAGTTTAATTCAGTGCAAACTGTTCAGACAAGAACTAAATTAAATGGAGAACATCTTCTACACTGAAGAAGATGAAGCTTGTAGATAGGACAATATTTTCAA